CTACGGAAGTAGGATTGCCCAACCTTCCTTCTGAGGAGTGGCTGGTGGGTTTGAACCGCCAGCCTTCTGGTGAGCAGTCAAGTGCCTTAGGCACTAGGCTATCAGAGCTCCTCTACTTAGGAATATAGAGCCTATTTTTATCACCATTTCCCAGCTGAGATACTGAAAGGACAGAAAATGAAAGTTGTATGTTTCTTGGGGCAAAGGGGTGACCCAACCTTTGATTCTTGCCTTTGTCCTGACCTGGAAGCATGAACTGAAATCTGCCTGCTGTCCTTGCACAAAAGCAGTGATCTCAAATCATGCACCTGGAAGTGGGGTCCCTTCTAGGCTGCCTCAGGTTATAGCCTCTTGCCTCCAGAACCAGCCAGCTCACAGTCTCCACCAGCATCTGTACCCTCTGTCTAGGCATTCCAGTATTTGGCTGTGGATCCAGGCATCAGGCCCAAAACCCACAGACTCTCCAGGCAGCAAAGTGGACAGAATTCAACACAGAAGCAGCAATTTGGAGTGTTTTCTGAACCTTTTCTTTGGAGAGAGAAAGAATCAATAAAAATTTCTGTCAATAAAAATAAAAATCTCATATTGTGTCAGGAGTTAGAACAAAAAAAATTGTTGAGGAATAACAACTCAAGTTGGACAGCACAAAGTGCAAGTACAGAGTGCTCCAAGGTTCTGAAGAGAAGGCATAGTTTGCTTGTTTGTTTTTTAATTCATTTTATTGAAATATAATTTATGTATAGTAAAATACACAAAACTAAAGTGGCATGGGCCAATGCTTTTTTTCTTTTTTTTCAGTGTTCCCTCCACTCCTCAACCATGCCTGGTAACCAATAAAGAAAATTCCCTTCCATATATAAACCTTTCCTTGAATTTTTACAATAATGAGCTAATACTATATTTGTCCTTCTGTGATTGACTTATTTCACTCAGCATAATGTACTCCAAGTTCATCCACATTATGCGGTGTTTTGCAGATTCTACATTATTCTTTAGTGTTGTATAGTATTCCAATGTGTGTATGTACCATAGTTTGGTTATCCATTCTTCTGCTAATGAGCACATAGGTTATTTCCAACTTTTTTTTTTTTTTTTAATTGTGATTTGGGTGAAGGTTTATAGAGCAAATTCACTTTCCATACAGTGGTTTACATACATTTTGTCTCATGACATTGACCACAGTTTACCACAATGCAACAGCTCCCCTCCCATTTCCTCCCCATAGTTACCTCTTCCCTGTGTCATGCCTCCATGCACTCCTGCCCTGTGAGCTGTCTCCCTGTGCATAAGCAGCCCTTCTTTCTCCCAGGATTGTTCTCTCCGAGGAGTGTATCTACCTAAGGTAAATGTTCAACTCATATGCCTGTCTTTTGTTTGGCTGGAAACCACAGGTGTGGGTTCAATTCCAGACCTGAAGGGCAGCTAGGGGCCATAGTCTCAGTGGTTTCACCAGGCTCTATCGGACCAGCAAACCTGGTCCTCCCCACCTTTTTTTTCTCCAAATGATTTTGAGTTTTATTCCACATTGTTCTCCCTCTCTATCAAGATCTCCTTCCAAGTGAATGACAGTGGTAGCCGGGCACCATCTAGTTCTTCTGGTCTCATAGTTGTATAGGTTGCAGATCAGATGGTGTCCCAGTCGCTATTACTAATTGTTTCCATGAATTTTGGTTTTCTTC